GGGGGGGGGGGCTTGGGATGGCCGGCAAGCGCGTGCGAGCACAGGACGGCCAAGGCCGAGCGCGAGGCATCCGGTAAGCACGCGGAGCTCCTCCATTTTTTTTCCAAGCGCACGTGTGGGAGAAAGACGTTGGCCTAATCTACGGGCTAATCAGAGCCACTCAAGCGTATAAGATCTAACGATATAGACAACTGACCGGCCAAAAATTGTGCAGGCGCGCCGACGCCTATCACTGTCCTTTTTAAATCCACACCAAACAAGCTAATAGAGCCATTAAATACTTCCTTTGTAACCAAATCCGAGGGAGTATTAAATATCATAAGGGTTTATATCTAAAACTTTTTTTGAAGGTCAGGGTTTTCAACATAGACTGTGTGTGATGGGAGACGGCTGGGGCAGTCTCTCAGCCAATTCGATAGCACAACCCACACCTTTGTAATACTGGTGTCTCCTATATAAACCGACCAAAATCGTGGATTTGCCCCGTTTCCAACGTTCATCCTTCCCGTCGCCTTCTCTCCTCACAGATTTCTCCCCCCAAATTCGCCCCCTTCCCAGCCCCATTTTCCAGCAGCCGGTGCTCCTTCGTTCGTCGCGATTTGTTCTGCCGGCGGCGACGAGAGCACGGCGGCGCAGCAAGCCACAGCCTCACTGGTTGCTGGCACTGGACCGGCGCGGATTGATTTCTTCTTTCCTTGGTAAGAGTCCTAAGCCTGGCCGGATGGATTGATTTCTTCTTTCCTCGGTAAGAGCCCAGTTCGTCTCGTTATTTGCGTGGCAGCTAGCAACAAAAACCCGAACCATTCTTCTCCATTCAGTTCAGTTAGTTGCCGATTTGTTTGTTTACTGGCAACCTATCAGTCTCATCCATCCGCCCATGGCCCGATTTGTACCGCGCGAGGTCGATCTGAGCAGCCCCTACGGGATTTACCCAGGAGCTGCGCAGCTTAGTTTTCCAAATGATTGGGTTTTACTGAATTTCCATGCCGCACGTTGGGTCCGTCCGCCCCTGCGTGGCTGAACGATTCCTTTGTACCCGAGCCGTACTGCAAGTGTATCAGCGAATTGGGACAAGTGATTGGGGGGTGTTCATCTTTGTACAATCACTTTCTTGTTTTCCCAACTATTCGAAGTTCTTTGCTTTGTTTTTAAAACCAGTGCTCCAGATTCAGACAGTTGGGCTGATATGTTAAATCTGATGTTAAGTGAGTACCTGTTGTCAGCAATTTAGTATTTGGCACGCTGTTGTTCTTCCAAGATTCTAGATGGCCAATCTCACAAATCCTGTTCAATTTCTGACAATAAGATTGCACTTTCATATCTGGTTGGTACACCAGAGCTAAGAAGTTAAGTTCAGCGATGTCTTTCAGGCACTTCTGGGGGATGCTGCTGCTTCCTGTTGCATGCCATTAAGTAATATCAAACCTCTTTTTTAACGACAATTGATATTATCAGTAATTTAAAACCTACGAAGGGGAGCCTTGGGGCAGCGGTAAAGTTGTTGCCTTGTGACCATGAGGTCACGGGTTAGAGTCCGAGAAACAACCTCTTGCAGAAATGTAAGGAAATGCTATGTACAATAGACCCAAAGTGGTCGGACCCTTCCCCGGACCCTGCGCAAGTGGGAGCTACGTACACCGGGCTGCCCTTTTAGTAGTTTAAACCTACATTACACATTTCCTTATTCTTTCAAAAGAAAGCACCAATATTTCGGTACATGCTTATGCAAATTCATTTTTGATGAAACCTGCAGCAAGTTCTTCTTTAAGCACCATCTAGTTTCTACCTTTCGCCGATTGATGTCATCATCAATTTGATGGAAGTGCCAGTATGGTTTCATCTTATGAATGCCACACTGCCATACTTGCAGTAGAGTAGCAGTACTACTCGTTTCCTTGTACCTTAAAAGGACCCTCATTACTTCGTTCTCTCTATCATGTCACTGCACTTTTTTTCTTCCTTTTTTGCATCATTTGACCAAAAGTGTGAAGCTCATTAGCTTCCTAGTCTAGAATGAAATAAATTGGAAAGCTGATATGGCAGTTTCCAGCAAGGCTATTTTAAGGTGCACTGCAATGGTTTGATGTTTATTTTCGAGTTTCTATTCTTGTTAAACATGACAACGTTTCGCAATGTATTCTAGCATAACCATTGGTATAATTTTCCTATCAGGATAAGCATTGATCCTGGATTTAGCTATTTCTTATGTGATAAGTAGATAAGCTGCAATGAAGGATTCTCAGGTGAATTTGCTTGCTATTATCAGTTGTCACTGAAAATTCCATTCATAATTATCTTTACCTTTCAGCGTAAAATTAGTTCTGGTTGGTCTAACCAGATGGTGAAAGTGCATACAATTTTTATTCACCAGACTAGAGAGTGAGATGACTATACATTATGAATTGCACATGAACCAGAGCTTTGCTACAGCTTTTCTTGGTAACTGCTAACAAAATACTTCTATAGTAATGTGGTGAATATAGGATTAAACATTAACACATAATATTTGTGAGAGAATTGTTCCTCAATGCCAAGACATCCTTTTCTTCTTCTTCTTATTACCACTCATAATTGACTGTTTACTGTTTTCAGTGTTTTTCTTTTTCTTTTAGCAGGTGATTGATTTATGTTACTTATGGACATTTCCTACAGGATATTCAGAGCACCACAGAGTTGCAGATGTCACCCCAGGGTACTAATGAAGTGCAAAGTAACCAACTAAACACAATGGCCACTGATGCACCTGCAGGAGATCCCGGTTCTGTGGCAGTTGCTAACAATGATAATAGAAAAGTCTCCCGTGAAGACATTGAACTTGTAAGACGTTTTGCTGTTCTGTATTCTTTAGCTTCTTGGATGCTAATTTATTACCAGATTACATCCCTCTGCAGTGGGGGTTCCAAACTCTTCCAATTAATGAAACTTGACATCCTGTTGCAGGTCCAAAATTTGATAGAGCGCTGTCTGCAGCTGTACATGACCAAAGGAGAGGTTGTTAGGACACTTTCTACTCGTGCTAGAATAGAACCTGGCTTCACTACTTTAGGTGATGTTGCAAATTCAGTTGCTGATGATATTCTTGTTTCGAGTTCTTTTTTTCTACGTACTAGTTTATTTGTTTGCTAGCTTCTTTCTTGTAATTCGGGCTACAATCAGTAATATATGGTACTATTTCTTACAGTATGAAAGTTTCATCTTGCTCAAGAGGCATGCACAAATCCTGCCCATCATATTGACGAACAAATTTGCTCAATAAAATGAAGTTGTAGCCTTGTACTTACCTGTTTGACCTATTCATCAATACTTACATGGATGGTAATTGCTCAGGACAAACACAAAATGTGAACTTCAAGCATCTAGACATACATCCATTGGAGTTCTAAAGCCTTTCTGCTCATTTTCGTTTATATTTTTGTATTTTCAGTATGGCAGAAACTTGAAGAAGAGAACTCTGAATTCTTTCGCGCTTACTATATAAGATTGAAATTGAAAAGACAGATTGTCTTGTTCAACCATTTATTGCAGCACCAGTATAATTTGATGAAATATCCAGCACCTCCGAATGTTCCGCTGGCTCCCATGCAAAATGGAATGCATCCTATGCCAGGTAATGCCCCTTTTTACACATCTAGCTTCAAAAGAGGCTAAACAAGCATTGTAGTGGGATTTCCAGTATGCTATCTTTTCTACATAGCTATTATGTTTACTACAGTTTGCTTCAGAAGGAAATGTGCACATTTTCTATCAAGAAATTTCCTTCCCTTTCATGTAATTTATGGAGAAAAAAAATTACAAGTCCACACCTTATATCAAAATATCTTATCATCATAAGTAACCACGCTTTTTCTCTGCTTTCTTGGGTCCATATTATCCCCATTTACTGCATCAGTGTTGGCTTGGTGTGGGAAGACTCTAAATGATATAATTAAAGATCTTACAATGATGTTTTTTTGTTTTTACACTAGTACCGAGTTTCATGGTGCAGCTTTAGCATGATCTGGCTAAGTTTCAGGTTTAGCTGTAATCATTGACTGGTTTAGACATTTAAAAATGTATAATACAATTACCATTGCTATTGAACTCAAGCCCAGATCTGGTGCAGTTAACAATCTACCGATGGGGTATCCAGTACTTCAGCAACCTCTGATGCCTGCTCCCGGCCAGCCTCACATTGATCCGATGGTTTGTGGTCTATCCAGTGGTCATGTAGTGAATGGGATCCCTGCCCCAGGTGGTTATCATCCAATGCGCATGAACTCTGGAAATGAGTAAGCATTACCTTTATCGGTTTAACCATGTTCTTTTCTCCCTTTATGCTTGATATTTGCATTGTGGGATTTATTGGTTTAATCATGTTCTTGAGAATATTTTGTCTGGCAAATCATATTTTATCTATGTATGCATATCAAAACATTGGAACATTTTATCTTGGGTGCTGCTGCTGTCTATATAGTTGGAGCATATCCGCATATACACATACTGGGGTAAGGCATATACAGTTCTTTGTGCTGCACTAGTCAAACTGCTAGGGAATAAATGCTTACTCAAGTGGTCGATTCTTAAGTAATGTCACAACATGCTATTCACTAATTTATTCACTTTAATTATGATGCTTATTTATCATCTTTCCGCTATAAAGTTTCATGAAAGGTACTTGCACCAGAAAAATCTCCTGTTCACTTTGTTGTTATCCATATTTCTGTTTCACCTGACGTCATCTGATGTTTCTACAACATGTTCATTTTTTTAACCAATGTCCGAGGGCTGTTATTTCTACAAAATACAAATAGAGGAATTAGTATTGCAGGTTGCAGCCTTCTGACTTATTGTCTTGCAGAAAGTCTTTTGCTCTTGCTATTCACATTCATGGCTAATATTATATATTTCTGATGTTGCCTGAAGCATGGTTGTGGACAACGGTGCACCTGAAGCTGCACATGCTGGTGCTATGTCATCTGATATGGCTGTGAGTCCCTCATCAGCAGCATCAAGCCATGCTCCTTTCACTCCATCTGAGATACCAGGGATGGCCATGGATACATCAGTCCTGGATTCAGCGTTTGGATCGGAGATAGGGAACACAGGACCTCTGCAATTAGGGGCAGATGGGTCGTCAAGGGATTCCATCCGATCCTTGGGGCAGCTCTGGAATTTCAGCCTCTCTGATCTTACAGCAGATTTGACAAGTTTAGGAGGTAATCTTCTGGCTTTGGTAGCATGACTTTAATTGATAGTACTTCTTTTGATAACCAGCCTTTGGAAAGGTGAACATATAGCTTACATTTGTTAGCTAGTTCTGTTGTCTGATTGCTGTCAAGTAATACAACATCTGTACTGCCAGATTTATTTTCTGCGTCCTATTTGCCTGCCATTCTAAATTTTTAATCACACTGTTGGTATTCCATGTTCATGTTCAGACTTGGAGGCTCTTGAGAATTACGCGGGTACCCCTTTCCTGCCCTCGGACTCGGATCTCTTACTTGATTCCCCAGACCATGATGACATAGGCAACCATGATGACATAGGTAATTTTGCTTGCTGTGATTTATCTCAGCTATGAATTGCCTATTAATCATCATATACATACCTGAGTTGATGATTTATGTTGAGACCAGCTTACTCATTTGTGGTATGTCTTATTGTCTCCAGTTGAGTACTTCGCGGACGCCATCAACGGGTCTCAGTCGGACGAAGAGAAGCCATAGAGAACAGACTCAAATAGTCCCATTGAGATTAGACCTGGCTAGAGTGTCTATCTCATTTAGTGTAATCTTGGAGCCGCGCATACCGCGGTAATATCAGACTGGGTGTTCGTCCAGAGATGCGGTAATTGCGCGTCACTAAAGAATTTTGTAGTGGTCAATGCTAGTTCTTTGGAATAATCAGCCTTCACCGCCGGGTAAATTTGCTGTCTACATGGCTGAAAAGCTTAGGAAAAAAAAACTGTGTCAAACCTCAGGAACAACCCTCTGTAATTGCTGAACAAGTGGACAGACAGTTCATCTGGTGTTGGAACATTTCTTGTCTTCCAGGTCGTGGTGTGCGTCCAATTTAACGTCTCCTGCACCGGCCCCGTTCCTTTATTTATTTCTTCTCCAGAGAGTACGCTGATAGCGTATCATATTTTTGAGAGAATGGCAGAATGCATAAGGAAGTGAGTTGAGCAAAAGGTTCCAGATAACACAGGCTGGAACGATTTGCAGAACACAAACGAGTCTCCTCGACAGAGACGGAGACAGTGATCAGCCTAGCTTCAGAGAAGTGCTGGTGCAGATTTCTGGAGAATTGAGCGTTGCTTTGCTTCCAAAGGCCCTTCCAGTCGGTTTTCGCCCGGTTTTCGTTAATTAACTGGTCAATTCTCATCTGCTTAATTAATCAATGAGGCAAATCTTTTACCAAGGCTCCTCCAGCATGTTAGCATCACCACCGAACTGAATCCCTTCCAGTGTTGGCTTGGGAAGCCGAAATCTGGGCGGTAGCCAGCGGCCCTCGTGGAGGGAAGCCATCAGGTTTGGCGCCTCGACGGCGAGGTTCAGTCAGTCAGGGGGCTGAGGAGGCAAGCATGCACCAAACCTGACGCCAAGGCCCGTCGTTTCTGGCGGGGTTTCTGGTGGAATGCTGAGTGTTTTTTTTCTTCTTCTTCTTTTTCGATGGAAGCATCCATTCCAGGCGCTGTACTGTCGAGTCGACTTGGCCGGAGAAGATCCGGGGAAGGCAGAGCGTTGAGTTCAGAGGGGTCGAGGGTCATGTACAGACACGGCGTCGTGAAACTGGGGATTAGGTTCATCATCTCTTCACTCTTCTGACCCGGTGATTCGTGGTGATTCAGTGCGTGCCTTGCCTTGCGTAGCTACCCTGTCTCCTTGGATGGCCCGTCAGAAGAGCTCGGGATGAAGAAAATCGTGCACGGCGCACGTCATGGTGCACTGCACCCCCTCTTTACTCCCAAGTTCCCGGGGGCGGCACTTGGCGCTTTGTCCGGGAACAAGTCAACAGTCAACTATAAAACTCGTCCTGCCGTGGTCCGTAGAGAATGCCACGTCGACCTGCCTGCCCGATATCGGCTACACATGCTTAATTATTCCCAGTCAGCATAGACGTGACATTGCCTTGGCGTGTCTCAACGAACATGATCTGTGCCTGTCTCTCTGTTTATGTCTTCGAACTGAACTGAGAGCCGCATCTCAACATTTTTTTTCGATCGAAGGGGCCACATGGCTCCCATTTTCATTATGAAAATGGAGTTGTTTACAAGGCATGAAACCAACATTATATCACTGATCTAGAAGCCACACCAGGATGCTCCAGCCTATCTAGCCTAATCATCACACCACTGATATATATCACCACATCAGGATGCTTCAATCCGTCCAAAACTAACCATAGAAGGGCCTAGTGCTACGCTAGCTACAAAGGTATCAACAGTCTAAAGGACGATAACCAAATTAACATAAATGCTTTGAAGCCAGCAAGCATTTTCAGCGGCTAGCTTCACAAAATCCTTCTCACATGCGGCGTCAAACCATGCCCTCCTTTGAAGATATCACGAGTCACCCTTACGATACGCCTAGACACCTGCTGAAGCATGCTTTGCACCCCTCTTTTCTGCAAATTTTTCCATGAGTCAAGTAGGGAACAAACAAGAAAGATAATGTCAGTAGGATCTTTAGGCATAACACTTTGAAAACAGGATTTGTTCCTTGTTTTCCATATAGACCACAAGAGAGCAGCAGTACCCAATAAAACAACTACTCTATCTTTGCCAGTATAGCTAGACAACCAGTTCTGGCATACGTCGAAAAAAGACATTGGAGCTCTCTGGCTCCCTAGAGCACTTCCCACAATATTTCACAGGAACTTAGCTAAGGAACAAGAGAAAAATAAATGATTCACACTCTCTTCACAGTCACAAAAATCACAAAACCTAGCACCTTTCCAGCCTTTTTTACTCAGATTGTCCTTGGTCAGAATCCTATTTTTGATTACTAACCAAGAGAATGCCTTAACTTCAAGAGGCATCTTCATCCTCCATAGTTTTTTAAAAGGGAAAGCAACTTGTCTAGCTATAAGATAGTGATACAGAGATTTAATGGAAAAGCTACCGGAGTTTGTAAGTAACCATTTAACTTTGTCAGGCTTATCCGACAAAATCACCTGACCACACATATCAAGTAACTTATTCCACATATCAAGAGTCTTCCCATGTAAACATCTTCTGAACCTAATACAATTAAACTTCAAGGTAAATACTTTCGCAACAGTAACATGTTTGCAAAAAGTTAGATTATAAAGACGAGGAAAAAATCAAACAAAGAGGTTTCTCCTTTATCCACGCATCCTCCCAAAATCTAGTTTTACGTCCATCCCCCAAAATTCTCTGACAACAGCCATAGAAAATATTCTTAACTTCCATTAAGCCATTCCAGAAGTGGGAGTTGTTAGGAGATGGTTCGCATTGAGTCAAAATTTTCTTCTTCAGATACTTTGCTCTAATCAACTCCTGCCAGTCCCCCTCCTCATTTTCTAGTCTCCAGAGCCACTTACAAAGAAGACTAACATTTTTAACATCTAGATTAGTAACCCCCCAGTCCTCCCTGGTCCCTAGGTTGGCACACATCATTCCAGTTGACCAGGTGGTACTTCCGCACTCCCTCCCTTTCTTGCCAAATCAAACGAGCTCGGAAAAAATCAAAGCATTTACGCACACCTTTAGGCAATCTAAAGAAGGAAAGCATGTGACTAGGGACACTACTCAAGCAAGTCTCAGTAAGAATGAGTCTCTCTCCCATAGGAAGCAAGCTCCCTTGCCAGGTAGCTGCTTTCTTCTCACATTTCTCCTCAGCAGGTTTCCAATCGCTATTACTAAGTTTCTTATAGTGTAGAGGCATACCCAGGTAGCGAAAAGGAAAGGTTCCAATTGTGCAAGTAAAGATCTAAGCATATTCCTTCTGTCTTACTTCCGCCTCACCGAAACAGTAAACCTCGCTTTTTAAAATATTAATTTTTAGACCAGTCAAGTGCTCAAAGACACAAAGAATGATTTTAAGATTCCTAGCTCCTTACTAGTCGTCCTCAAAACAAAAAATCATGTCGTCAGCATATTGTAAAACAGAAAGGCCACCTTCATAAATCTGAGGGGCTAGACCTTTTATAAACCCTTGCTCCTGAGCCCTTCCAACCAGGGTCACCAGGACATCAGCAGCTATATTAAACAGCAAGGGGGAGAAGGGATCCCCCTGCCTTAGACCTTTTCTAGTAGAAAAATAATTACCCAACATCTCATTTAAAGTAATAGCGACTTTCCTATCAACAATGGCTGACTTGGTCCACTGAATAAACTTTTCAGGGAACCCTTTCATTTCTAACAAAGAAAGCATAAAGTCCTAGTTAATTTTATCGTAAGCTTTCTCAAAATCGACTTTAAAAAGCACACCAGAGAGCTTGTTTCTATGAAGATAGTGCATGGTCTCATGCAGCATTACTACATTATCCAACAAATAACTCCCTTTAATAAACGCTGTTTGGATCTTAGACACTATCTTGTCAGCAACTAACATAGCTCTAGTGTTCAAAACCTTGGTAAAAATCTTAAAAGGGACATTAAGCATACAGATAGGTCTATACATCCGAATCTTATCAGCCCCCTAGCCTTTGGCAATCAATGTAACAACACCATAATTTAGCCTAGAGAGGTCCAATTTGCCATCAAAAAAAATCATTAAACAGCTGAAGTAGATCGGAACAAATTAAATCCCAAAATACTTGGTAAAATTCAACGGGCATTTGTGACGTCCGGATAATCAAGCTACAGTAAACCCCTGTTAATGATGCCAGGTCATCATGATTAAAATTTGCTAAACTACACTCGTTTCAAACTTAGTTCAAATAAAAATTCAAATAACAATTCAAGTTATAGTTTCATAAAACAGTGAATTAAAAATGTTCAAAAGGTTACAAATATTCACTAGCTAATTAACAAACAACATCCAACATTTAACAAAATATTAATTGCCCTAAAACAATTACAATAGTGACCAAAACAGCCCCATTAATACAAATCCATTTAAACAAATTTCAAATGAATTCAAATGCTCCTCAAACTTTTGTGGCAGTGAGATATATTGCCTAATGATTGTTGAGATCAATTTCACATTTTATAAAATTTGTTTGGCGTGAAAAGTAATTACAAAAGTAAAAATGAAAGAGAAAATAAAAATACAAATAAAAGGAAAATAAGCAAAAGGAACCCCCCTCAACTAGGCTAGGCCCAGCTGGGCCTCGAGCCAGCCAGTCGGCCCACCCTGCGCCCCTGGCCTATATGGCCCTACTTCCCCCCACCCACCGAGGGAAACCCTAACCTCCCACCCTCTTTCCCCCGATCGCGATCCGCCCCAGTTCTGGATCGACGCCGCGTCGACGCTTGTCGTCGCTGCACTGACGTCCTGCGCCTGCGCAGCCGTCGGGCCTCGTCGGATGCCTCGCCCTCCTCCCGAGGCCCCCCCTCACCGCGACGCCTCGGATGCCGCTGCCTCGACCTGCTCTGGCATCACCATTTGCCATCGCCGGCGTCGCGCGCCTCTGCCATCCCCGTCCTCGACCTCCTCGTCGCCCCCTCACCAGCTCGGCTACACCGAGCCTCGCCGACGAACCCCTGCATCGGGGGTGAGAACACCGCGCCTTCTCCCCTTCCCTCTATCGCCGCTCC